GCGCCTGTTTATTGGGCCCGCTCTTCCACCTATCGGTAGGTGCGGGTTTGTTGCCTTTACTGCTGCGCTACGTCCCTCTTTATCGCCCTCCATTCTGACGTTGGCCATGGCTCTGGCTTCAACTGCCCTGCTCGAGGTACCATTTGACCCCAGAGCCGCGTAAACCCTCGCGGTGTCGGTCGTCCACAGACCCTGGCGGACCTGTCAGAGGCATCGGCGGAAGTTTGGCCCTGCCGTGCTTCTTCCTCCTCTGCTTCTACCATCCAGCCTCGTCAGACGCTGTCAAGGCGTTACTGCTGGGCGACCTGTGTCTACCTTTCCCCTTCTGGTGACCGCTGTCAAAGCGGCGCAGACTCTTTGAGCGCTCCCGGCTCTGAGCTGTGACGACTCTTTCTGTTTGACTACGATGCATGTAGAGGCATGACAAGATTGCGTGCGCATTCATATTCCATTTCCAAAAAACATGTTTTCCGCATTTTATCAAAGTTTTGGCTTCACCTATTTGGTGTCTGTTGGGGTGTTTGCCTTTTTTCTATCTCTACTTGCTTTCAAGCGGCCAAACTCACTTCCAATGAGTTACAATCAGCAAATAAATATCGCTTATCAAACTTCAAGCATATCAACGTCAAAACATTCAAAAGTATCGGCGAATATGCACATACCTACGTGCATACATAGGCATTAGATAGTGTTAAGGGGAAAATGTGAATGATGAATTACGCTATGGTACGCGGGATGCTGCAGTTGTAGCTAACTATTGTGGTGATACATACATATTGTACGTTTGCGAAGTAGATGTATATCGTTGGGAAGCCATTTCCGATTGAAAATTCATTTCTTTCACAAAACAGTTCCTTCCGTCGTAGCCGTCCGGTGGCTATGAAGCTACACGTGCAAAGCGATAAATAGAGCATTGATGCCGGTTTGGAAATGCATACTGCATTACTTTATTTCCTATGGTGGTTGTTGTTGTTATATTTTTTGCTATATATACATACATATACTATGTATAAACATTAGGGTGGTCCAAAATAGTTAGTGTCGGAATTTTAATGCTCTCACCCTCTAGGATTTTCCTATATCGAAAAAATATATGCCTATTATTTTATTTTGAAATCAAAAAATATTTAGAGGTCGCTCGAAGCGCTCAAATCTTTCCATGTATTTTATATGGGGGAAAGCCAACTTTTCATAGAAACGATATGGAATTCTTGAAAATCAATATTTTTCCAATAACATTATCCAATTGTTTATTTGAAAATTTTTTAATACTAAAGAGTTTTTATTTATCCCCCACTGCATTTTCTTACTTACTTAGTTACTTTGAAAAAATGGTTAGATAAATAATTGGGTATTATTATTGGGAATGTCTTGAAGAGAAACAGATTTTTGCGATTGAAAAATATTGATTTTCAAGAATTTTATACCATTTCTACGAAAAGTGATTTTTCCCCATATAAAATGCATGGGCAACTTTAAGCGCTTTCAGCGGCCTCTAAACATTTTTTGATTTCAAAATAAAAAATAAGGGTATATTTTTTCGGTACAGAACAATCCTAGGGGATGAGAGCATACAAATTCCGACTTTACTCCCCCCATGCATTTTTGGACCACCCTAATACACACACACACGTGTTCGTACATCTATCGCCAAAGTTTTTGGGTTTGTTGGCAGATGTTTGTTGCCACTTTTACCAAATGTTTTCCATTGTTTGCTATTTGGCGCAAGCCAATTGGATGCCGGGTGCAGGGGTGCTAAAAAGAACTGAAAGAAGATAAAACCTCACACAGCCTTTCAATTTGAAAAAGCGTGAATGCCTGTAAAAGTTGTGATTGACATATACTACGTTTATACGCATGCATAAGTCGCTTTAATTCATTTCGCCGCGATTCAAAACATATGTATAAACTGAATTTCAATTCGCTTTGAAAGAGCGACAGTGTTTTGGCTCACACTCCATTTAAATCGGTAGTTTATTTCTCCAGACAGTTAGAAAGAGTGTATAAACACCGCTCTCACTCAAAGCGAATTGGAGATCAGCTGTTCCGCTCAAATTCCAAATAATCGCATCAGTATTTAAAAGCTGATTAATAATAATCGTTAATTTTCTTTACCACGATTTTATAATGCCGAATAAAACTAGATTTTTATCACTTTCCATTATGTTAACTTATAAAATGTCTAATGAAAACAGCTAATTTTGTTTGCTTTTGAAGACGGTTACTTTGATGCCGATATAAAGCCGTAAGTATAAACACTAGAGCGAAATGTGTACGGTGTCAATGCGCTTTCAATTAAGTCGATTATTCTGTGCGTATAAACGTAGTAACATTCATATCCAAACGGAAGTTGGAATGACGTTGTTGCGCTGTTGCTGCTTGTATATGTATGTATGTATGTATGTGTGTATTTCTTCCACTCGAGTAGATAGGATACCCTTTGCGTGTGCTTGGCAAGAAATCGTGCAATAAACAGACACACGTATGCCTATTGTTGTCTTATCGTTTGGTTGAATGTTTTGAAGTACATTGAACCGTCACAGTGCCCTACAGCTGTGCTCCACACCATGATAAAGCGTTAAATAAAAGATCTACCACACCTTTTGTACCTCAATTAAGCTGTACTTTGTTGATATTGTCCTTTGCATATTTCATTATGTGATTAAAATAAAACATAATTTCAGATTTCTCCTAGATGTGCTGCATGAATTTTTAACTGGCATCAGCAACGGCGAAAATCCAAAAAGTAGCAGCACAAACTTTCTGAAGTACTTACACCAATGCAAACATAGTAGCTTAGAAAAGTGTCGGATAGAACTGAAGTGGGTGTAGTAGGGAAAGCGTTCAATTGGGCAATTTAAGTACATCGGTAGATACTTAGCCAGTCGAACATTGGAAAGTTTGCGGAACAGCCTGGTGAGTGCAGCAAGTGTTGCTCATCAATATTCTGACAAGGCACATAAACATATACTAAAATTCGGCATAAGAGGAAGTGTCCAGCTGTGCGACACAAGTACATAAAAGAAAGTATATAAAACATCAGTAACGACAACAATTCATCAATTACTAAAAATGGCAGAGGATGAAATTTTGTTCGATGACGTTTACGAATTGTGCGAAGTTATTGGCAAGTAAGTTGATTACGCTAAATTCTATTCGCGAATAGAAAACAGCTTGTTAATATATTTTTTAATGTATTTTTGCAGAGGCCCATTCTCCATTGTACGTCGCTGCATACACAGAGAATCAAACCAACAGTTTGCCGTTAAAATTGTTGATGTAGCGAAGTTTACAGCCAGTCCTGGCCTGAGCACAGCTGGTAAGCAAATCTCAACTTTCGATAGAGAATTCTTATTGTGGCGTAAATCAATTATAATTAAGCACTATAATTATTCAAAAGCTATGAGCTTCTTAATGCTCAATTTAGTGTATCATTACGTTGCGTATGACATTCAGCTTACTCAAGGCACATTTGTCGAATACAGGCCGAGAATAAAATATTAATTTAAATACAATGGAAGTTTAAATGTGCATGTACTAGATGCTACAGCACAAGATATTTCATTCGTACTTCAAAATCTAAATATGTACACAAATATGTATATACAGTATCAGTGCAGTACATTCGTATCAGGGTTGTTGCGAATATTTGTATTCGCATATTCGCAACCGCGGAGCTTCCGCATCAATTTTAACATTCGCATTCGCAATAATCAATGCGGAGCTTTTGCGAATGCCAATGTATATTTGGCAAACAAAATGACAAAAGAAGCCAATATTTTTTACCGCATATATTAGTAAAAAAAACTGGGTCAAAAGTAAGATTTATCAGCTTTGATAAAAGTGTCTTTAAACCTATTATTTCTCAAGCTATAATAACGAGCTATTAATGGGCACTTCTACTTGATCATTTGTTTCTTTCTGTATTATGATTTTGTTTAGCAATCTAAAAAAACTACTAGACATGAAAGTAGAAGTATGCACAGTTTAAGCCACTTTTTAGTGATTTGCTTTTGATGTTATATTCGTTTCAATCATTCAAAATGAAGCTCTTTGGGAAATTTATTTCTAGCAATAATTTCAAAAAAACAGTAATTTTGTTTACTTGTCGGGCCTAAGTAGTCGGGCAATATTTGTTTCATAGGGATATACATTGGAGGCTTGGCTAAAAACTTCTGTGCTAAAACTGTCCCCAACGTCCCCCTTCTATTGCTATTTAAAGTCAAAGAGTAAAGTAAAGAGTACTTCAATAAAGGTTTCCAGCAGAAATGTTCAACGTCTAGATATAAAGAGAATCAATGCTCAAATAATTAAAAAGCTGTACATAGGTCGGACCTTTAATGAGGTAAAAATGACGCAACTATCGAACATTATTTGTCAAAGATCTGTTGAAAAAACTAGGTTTTTTTCTACTTCTTCCTAGAAATGAATAATTATTTTTTCTCATAAAACGGCTTGTTACGATAAAACTTCGTGTTTTCTTTTATTACTTAGCAGAAAGATACACCAAATTATTTTGACCGGTTTTACTGTACAAATACTCCTCGGGGCGTAGTCTTGAGCTCGAAAACATTTATTTTGTTTTGGTGATAATTGTCAAAATTAGCACGCAGCGAAAGATAGAATGGAATGTGAAAGAGTTGATGCCAAGTTCACAAATCAAATAAGAATCTATTCAGGGCGAAGTTAATATCTATTGCGTAGTGGAACTTGGAATGCAATATATGTTGAAAATTTGGGTTCGTCTGCCACAAAATATTAAAACGCATTTAGCGTATGAAATCGAACAACAAAATGGATTTGATCATGATAAAAACATAACAAGGTAAAACCATTGAGAGACAGTCTGACGTTTGCCAACAATATAATTTTAAAATCAAAACTCAAACTCACACACACATTCTCATTTTCAATCTCAAACAACAATAATTGTGAACAATTAAATTTTTTTATTTTCAATTTTATATGATTTTAAAATGTTGGCAAACATCAGAAAAAAATCATGGCCGACGAAATGAGAGAATGAATTTACCTTGTAATGTTTTTATCATGGATTTGATAGCTTATGGCACCGACAGCGGTGAGTAATTAATTGTGACTACCTGCAACTTGGAAAAATCGAGATTAGCAAATAAGAAACTACAAGCTATTCATCACAGGTGAACATTTTGAAGAAGCCGCCCGGGAACTAAGCAATTCTGACACTCCCACCATCCGGGGCCTTTAAAAAAAAAATACCAAGATTCTGACCTGGTTCGGCTGGCAGCCACGTCTTTGAAAATAGAAATTTGTTCCAAATTTTCATTTCTGGAAACTAGCAATTTATTTGCCATATCCACCTTTTTATCTCGCTATAAGCACAAATTTTTCAAACCAGTCGAAGAGAGAAAAAAGTTATAGAGTTCTAAAATAGAGCGTTCTTCAGCAAAATTCTGAAATAGGACGTTGTTTAACAATTTTCTCAGATAGAGCGTTTTCGAACTGGTTGCCGAGATAGGTCGATCTTCCACCCAGCCATCGATATAATGATCCAATTTTCAAATTCAAGTAATCAATAAAATACAATTTTTATAAAATTATTAACTTTCGTTTTTTTTTTTATTTACCTATGTACATACGTACATACATCACCTAATCTACGAGTACTTACATAAATTAATTTTGTAAAAATACTTGAAATCCGCATGTTAGCATTCGCATCCGCGGATGTCTAAAATTCCACATTCGCAACATCCCTAATTCGTGTATACGTATATGTGTGTACATTTAGATGAAGGGCCTTTTACAATGATTGTTTTGATTCATCGGTTAACATTATTCTTTTATTGCTAGTCGCAATATGTTGCTGCTAACTGTAGGATTTTCTATGTGGTCCACTAAATGGCTGGCAGGCAATAAAGTGCCATGCAGTTTTAAGCCTATTATGAAGCACATTATGCACATGGCATATTTACAATTGTAACAAATGGCCAACAGGTTTAGGAACGTTTGGAGCGAGGTTTATTTATTTTCCTTTAAACTGAAAAGGCCTGCCTCTTAAAACCTTGAATATATGGAATTAAAACAATTCAATTCATTTATTTTCCCTTGTCTACTCAAAGTGCAAGGAAAATATATGAGCAAATTTCACGAGTTGTTAAATTTTTCAACAAAAACGTGTGGTACACTTATCGTAGACAATGCATTATCTTCCATTTTGCGTAAAAACAAAATTCCATCGCGAGGTAGTATTTAAATTAAAACTTCAAAAAGATATACTAAAAAAATAAAAATAACAACTTGTGTATGTAACGTATACGCCCCGTAGCCACATATGCAGGCAGCTAGCACATTTACTCGCACGCCTTAACTTAAAAGCCATATAATTTAAAAGTAATTAGCAGGGAACGGATTTTTAGGACCTAAAAACCTACAAAAAAAAGGCAAAATAAAACAACGAAATAGGCTGGAAAAAAGTAAAATAAAATACTGCAATAGGCAGGAAAAGGCACTAGTAATAGCAGAAGTTGGCACTAAAAAGGCAAAAATCGAAAAATAACACTAGGTTATAGGAAAAATGTTCACCACACGCCACTACATATCCAATTTATATATAGGATTGCTCGCTAATTCCTAAAATCGAGTTAATTTTGTATTCTATGGATAAGTTTTCGAGATTTTTCACACAAAATCTTTGCGCATTTTCATATGACCACTTATTACTTCATTATTTATCCATCGATTTTCTTCATTATCAACTTGATTTTTTTTGTAACAGAATAGGCTTTAGCATAGCCTTGAATGTATTAAACGTGCGCAGGAGGTGAGTTGATGCAAGTGGCGCCCAATTTAAATATGGAATCTCTGAAGTCAAAGTTATCAGAATAAGCTTGTTGCAGTTCGCGTGTTTTGTTAATTTACTTATTTTACTTCTTTATAAGACTATACTATTTACTATACTCCCTACAGTATTAGGACATAATATTTAGTAAATCTGTGTTTTTTGTTTTTTACCTGGTAGTCAGGATTTTTTCCAAATGACCATAAATTATAATATATTTCCAAAAGTTTACACAAAATATGGAGATGTGGGCATCAAATGAAAGAAGAATTGGAAACAAGATTAACTATCACTTTTGTTTTCCATTATCCTTCTGGAGCATGTCAAAAATGTCCTTCAAAAATATTATCCTTCAAGATTTTTAATTTTGAATGAGTTTTGAAGAATCTTAGTTTAATTTAAATCTTACTAATATATATAAGGATGCTAAAGGATAAAAATTTCAAAGAATATTTTTCAAATTTTCTAATTAATACTGCCACATTTATTTTTAATCAACCCGAGAGGACATGTCAAACACTAAAACACTTTATTTTTTTTATTTAATATTATGAAATGCATTTTTAAATGAGAAAAAGAATTTGTTAAAAAAGTTGAATATAAAAATTTATTTAAAAAATGGTCTAAAATTGCAAATTTTCAGGAGATGCACAAATTATTCGTCTAAAAAACATAAAGTTTTGCAGCCTTGTAATACACCCCTTGAAATCCACTATGCTTTTTTCATTAATTAACTTTTTCGATGTCCTTGGGAGAAATCCTGCCGTACATATGTATCTTTTCTATGTAGTACAAAAATTTGTGTTTATCTCCTGCAAACGTGCAATTCTGATCATTTTTTAATTGGTGTGACAGGGCGTATGATGAATACAAAATTATTAAATTCAACTTTTCTACTACATTCCTTTTTCTTAAAAAAATGCCTTAAAAAATATTAAATAAACCAAATTATAGGCTTTCTTATTTTTTATATGTCCCTTCAGGCTGTTCAACTGTCGTAAATCAGTGAGATATGAAAATTATGTTTAGTTAAATTTTTTTTTATGTCATACGGAAGTCCAACCATTATATCTACCCGAGAGGACATGTCAAAGACTAAAACGATTTATTTTGATTATTTAATATTATGAAAGGTATTTTTTTAAATGAGGAAAAAAATGTGTAATACAAGTTGAATTTAATAATTTAATGTTCATCATACGCCCTGTCACACCTAATAAAAAATGTTCTACAATTGCAATCCTTCAGAACATACAACGCAAACCACAAATTATTCGACTAGAAAACATATCGTTTTGCAGTCTTGTAATACACCGTTAAAAAGCCGCTATACTTTTCGATTAATTAATTTTTTCGATGTCCTTGGGAGAAATCCTGTCATCCTATTAAAAAATTGAAGATGCAGATTTACTAGAAATGCGTTCAAATATGGGAAACATTTCGAATTTATTGCATTTCCAAAGTTTTCATGGACGATCTGGCAGCCTTAGTTCAAGTTATTAACTAAAACTTCAACTAAAAGTCGGCACAGGTTACCGTAAGCCTACGGCCACAAAACTTCATCTATATGCTATTTAGGCTAAAAAGCACAAATATAGAGGGTATGCATATCAAAATTTGCAAACAAGTTTTTTTCCATATATTCTCGGGACAGTCTAGTGTATACATACATATATGGAATCAGGGAAAGCTAAGTCGTGGACATTCTTAATCGAATATACTCTATCTTTTTAGCAGAAAAAAGGCAATTTGCATAAAATCCGATCCCTAGTAATTAGATGTTGTCGTAAAAGTATTCCTTATGCTCATACATATATGTATATTACTTTCTTCATGTACATATATAACAATTTTAGAATGAATTTCGAGTGTGCCAATCAAAATTGGAAAAATGGAATTTTGGTCAAATCATAGTCATCTTTTACTCAATGTAATTTNATTCGCAGAAATGGTATAGAATTCAAAAAACCTACAATTTTTCTATCGGAAAACTCTTTTCATCTGCAGAAGACTCCAAATTGTTTATTTAACCATTTTTTCATCGCAACTTTAATTTATAGG